ACAAAAAATTATCATAAATTGAGGCTTTATTTCTGTTTCTGAACGTGTAATCAACTTTGAAAAGTAAAATATAATGTAAAATTCCACTAAGATGAATTCTTATAACTTTTTTCCTTACAATAATTTATATTTAATGGTATTTGCTAGAGACATTTTTTAAAATATTCTAAATTCTTATTCTTTATTTCTTTTAATAAAACTAAAATATATAAATGTAAATAGATATATTTATATATATATATAAATGTATTCATTAATAAATTAAATTGGAAAACATTTAAACAAGCCTTCATACTATAATAAAAGCCCCTTTAAGTATTGTTTGTCTTCGTAGATAAAATTAAAATTTATAAATCTGATAACATTTTTTTTCATATTTTCTGTTTTGTTTACGTGAATTTGAATGCGAATCATTTAAATGTTTGTCATTTGTTCTCCTTATTATAACTCTGTTTATGAGATTTATTGTAGTATTCATTATATTAATAGATAACTTAAACACGAAAAACCATTCTGGATGGAAGACGAATATTTATTTAAAGAAAATTCATTAAATTATCATTAGTTATATAATTTAATTCGATAAAAGTACATAGGAACTTTCATCAGATTTGATTAAAGAAAGAGAATAATTGTTTATTTTTCGAATTAAAGCTTATTTTCTAAAACGAGAATCATCGTCCCTGAAAGATGACCAAAAGTTATTAAGAATAAATTAAATTCTCTCTGAATATTTCGCCATTTTTCGCTTTTGTGATACTTTAATTGCATTTATACAACGAAAGATAACTTTCAACTAAAAATTAAAATTTGTTAATTTTCTAAAATTAAATTAAGATCCATTAAACAACATTAAAAATAGAAAATTATATTAAAGCATTACAATAAATTTCATTAAAGTTAATGCATTATATTTTTGGGGGGAAAAGAAAAAAAATTTTAATAAATTTCACGAAATTAACAAAATAATTTTTATTTGTATTTTGTATTTTATAAAAATAAATCAATTTTTTTGTCACGTGATTAAATCTGGAAAAAGTTTTTGTTCCTGAGAATCCATTCATACTCTAATCAATATTTGATCTGTTTCTGTCACGTGATTACACGAATTGCTTATTTCTCTCCCTCTCTCGAGATCTGATAATCATCTTATGCAGTGGTGCGATCACGTACTCAATTATTTCTTTTCTCTCGGTAACTATTTCCTTTATCCTACGGTCACGTGAATGAATTTCCTGCTGTCACATGAAAATTTATCAATACATCATTCCAATTACTACTAAGGTTTCTAATCATCCGATCTTATAAAACTGATTGTTTTATCTTGATTTAACTTATCTAAAAAATAGAGGAAAACATTCTAAAATAAAATTATAAACTTCCAAGAACATAAAATTTGGCATTTGACAAAAAAACAACTGGATTTTTATTTATTTTTTTATGTTTTTTCTTGTTAAACAAGCCAAGTTACAAACGCGATATAGGCATTAACCTCGAATGTTTTTCGTGTAAAAATCGGAGATAATTCTCCTTCTAACATAAATAAATATAAATGATATCAAGCACGAAAAATCATATTTTTAAGAAAAAAAAGCAAAATTTTATTTTAATTTTTCTACAATTTAATTTAATAACAATTAAAAAAAATCGTTTCTAATAAACTTGCTAGACGTTCATTAATTATTTAAATTTCGATTTAAAGTATGTCAATAAATGAGTTTGATTATTATTTTATTTTTTGGTTTTTAATTTAAATCGAATATTAATTCAATTTTTGGAATGAAAAATAAATATTTATTTAACTCGTATACTTTAATATATTCTGGAATGGATCTTCCTTTATTATGATAATTATGAAAGATAATATTTTATATAAAAATGCCAACATTGTTATGAATAGAAATGCTTACTTTATCAAGCAAACAACTCCAGCAGGAAACCCGCTGTTTACACTTTAATATCCTAAAATAACAATTATCATTATCATTTTCAACTTCATTAATTTCTTCTTTTTAACCGAAATATTTTAAACGATTTATTAAACGACGTAATTATGCGATATTAAAATTATCTATCGTTTAACAATAATATATTTAACTAATTATTTTGGTCCTTATTTTATTATTTATTAATTAAATCGTGTATATTTCCATTGGTTATTTAAATATAGAAGAAAAAAAAATATTTTTTTCGATTTAAATACAGTCTAATCTCTATATAACATCTACGTAGAGCGTCAATGAATACTCACAAACGGATCTTCCAGTTAAATATTAAACAAATAATGCTTCAGCTTCTGTGTATGAATAAAATTTAGTAATGTTTTGGATTATAATTTTCATAATGGGCCAAAGCATAATGGTAATACGAATTCATTCGCGATTCTGCTTATTATGAATAAGCCTGATCCACAGGCCATCGAAAGAGAAGGAGTTGGGGATTTTTCCCTAGGATCGTAAACTTAGAGGCCTTTAGTGGTTCATACCCCTATAAAATAAATTTTAGTTTTACTAAAAAAAAATAAAGTCTTTAATACTGTTTTTCTTTTATTAATAAAGAAGCATTTTACGTTTTCCATTTGTTCAAGAATCCAATAAATAAAGGGGCCCGCTCTACTTTGGGCCCTACATACAAGCTTTTAACGGCCCTATTGATCTATAACGGAAGAAATCTGCTATTAAACTATTTATTAAAATTACAAAATTTTGGATCGGATTCGAATCCGGTCACTCACAAACAACGGAAGATAATCTCTTATGAGATGATTATCCAACGAAATAATTATATTTTATTCATTAACTCTTATTAATTAATACTTTTATATGAGTTTTATATAAACATTTATCAGTATTAAAATATTTTAATACATTTTTTTAAAAGAAAATAATAATTGTTTATAAAAATGATTTTATTTTAATGACCCATAAACAACATACATCATAACAAACACATTTGATGTAGTAAATATCGTAATTTCTTCTATTACAAAGTGTTTTTATTAGCGAAAAATTAGTTATTAATTTTATTTTCGTGTCGATTTATAATATTTAGAAAGGGAAAAAAGTTTAGACGAGAATAATATAAACACTTGTAAATTGATCAAGTTGGATAAATTATAAGATAAATTGTTTCTTCATAAATTTTGATTAAATTTATTTTATGTTAACTGAAACAGTAACTAAATGGAACTTAAACGATTCTTGATATATAAATTTCAACTAGTTTATTCCATATGTCAATGACTTTTTAATGTTTAAATTTTGTTCAAACCGTGTTAAAAATTACCTCCGAAAATCCAACTTTAATAATGTTGAAAGGGAAAAAATGCTTTAAAATTAACTTATGTTTATAAAGTAACAAATATTTTACCATTTTTATATTTAAATTGAATATCAAGATACTTTCTAAGTACAAGCTTACATTATTTTTATCTCGTAGATGAGATTTATTAAATTTCATAAATTGCATTTTAAATTTACAAATTTTTGTATTATTTTTTAACAAATATATATATAAACTTCGAATTTTGTTATGTATATAAACATTTTTTTAAATCTTTAATTTAAAAAAAGAACAATGCTTACAAGATTTTAGCATTCACAATTCTCTAATGGAAATAATAATAATGCAAATTTATTTAATGAAACATGACCAGAAGCCTACATTTATTTATTTTGCTAACTATTGTGTATTAAAATGTAATTTTTAAATTTATTCTTAATATAAATTACTAATTACAAAACTCCTAAATCAAGTAACCAAACAAAAAAAAAAAAGTCTTTCTTGTAATTAAAATGCTCCAAAGCTTTTACTCCTGCATTAGACGCTTCATTAAGCTCCTCTGTTATGTTTTGTTTTACTTTGATTACAGAATATGTCGCAAGAGAAACAATTTCCAGCAAGTCGAATATAAAGGCAACATTTTGTCATATTTAAATTACCAATTACTGTAGAAACGAATGAAAATTTATTGTTTAAAATATTAAACTTCGTGACTCGAGTGTTGAGCTTAAACGTGGATTTTTAGAACAAAATTTAAAGAAAAATTCATCCTGGGCATCAATCATCTTCATTATACGCAGGGGACTCCTCGGAAAAACGATAAAATTTAGAAGGAAGGAGAAATATATATTGACAACTTTTTTATCTGTTCGATTTTTTTTTTTGATCAATCAACCGAATGTTTTGCTGTATAAGTTAAAATTCATGCTGCTCACAATATAATTATGAATAAATAATAGAAGATAAATGCAGAAATGTTTCACGTTCTTACAAAAAACCTGGAATATATTTTACAGAAAATGTATACGAATAAAGAATTATTTCAATATGTTGAAATTCACGATACGTTAGCAATGCTATTATTTATATTGTCACAGATGCTCTCAAGGCCTCTGGGTAATGTAAGTGATGCGTTGCTTAGTAACATCATCCACTCGGCGCTGCGTACAAAATTTGACAATAGATCAAATACTTATAAATATTATTCGTAAATTATTTTCGAAACCACTTTGAAGAATTTTGATGAATAAATTTTAAGCAATAAAGCCAAGAGTAGCGTAAAGTGAAAGCAGGTTAGTTGAAGAATAAGTGAAAATAGGAGTAAGTGATTAAAATATATCAGTCACCAGAACTTAAAGAATATTACGGGATGCGAGGAAAGTGCATTTTTATAAAACAAAAATTTAGGTAAGTGCAGCAAACAGGACTTTATTACGGTAATTCTATTATAAATATATATTTTTTTCTGATATCTGGTGACTAATATGGACAGATAGAAAGATAAAAAGGTAAGTTTCTATACACATAAACAGTGCAAAAAAATTGTTTAGCGCAATTCACTTATATTTTTATAATTTCAAACTAGTTAACGGGCATAATTTTGAAATTATGCCAGCTAAATAGTTCTTCTTATATTTATTGTAAATGAATTACGTTAATAAACAGAAAAAAGAGAGAAAAAAATAGTAAGAAATGAAAGAAAGAAGGATAGAACTAACCTAAGAGGGAATCCTCAGCAGCATTCCTTCCTTCATTGTGGGTTTCTGAGAACATCGTAAACCCACTCAGGAAGGTTGACCCAGCAGAAGCAGTACCTAGAATGATAATTTAATTTAATAACATTCATAATGATAATAATAATTTCTTAATTATTACCATAAATAATTGTTTCCGTAGGTGGTAGCCCATGCAATTCTTTTACATTTCAACCCAGAATTTTATTATTAATTAATATAAACTAGATAGTCATATTAATTATTACAAATTACAGAATAAATTATTAAATAGTTTATATAGAGATTTAAAATATATAAATTCGATTATATAACATTTGTGATATGATGTCTTAGAACAGAGAAGGAACCATTAAACAATTATAAATTATATTTTCTTGAAGATTGATCAATAAAAATAAAGAGTAAACGAATTATTTAACTTAGTACCTTGGTTACTGTGCACAGAAATATTGCATGTTGATGAATTTATCTATACTTTTATCCTTTTTCATTCATCCCTGTTGAAAACTACATAACAAATTACTTTTATTTAAAAGTTTTATAATTAAAACAAAGACTTGGAGAACATTTTTAATTATTTTAAATATTACTTTAATATATGAAAAGTGTTAACAGAAAACTATTAAGAGCAAACCTCCACAAAGAAAAAAAATATATATAGAAAAATGTTGTTGCAATTCGCTTAAATGCAAAAGTACGTGTATAGCTACTAAAAGAAGAAAGTTTTATACTCTTGGGAACCTAAAACACTATTTCCGACTATTTAATACCTAGAATTTACTAGAAAACAAAGTAAAGTTAATCTTTCTCCATCCACTAATGACAGTCGCAGATTCTGAAGACATTTTCTCTCCAAAAATGCCACTTTATCCTTATAAATCAATCAGAAAAAATAAAATAAAATAAAAATAACATTCTTAAATTTAGACAGATATTATACCCTACATTATCAATCTAAGATATTGGCATTCGATATTTTTCTAACTGTTACAAAATTATAAGTGTTAAAACACGTTCATCAATGATAAGTTTACAATGTTCACTAGTGCTTAACTATGTTCTTCACATTAAATATAATTATAGTAATCGTCTGCAATTATATCTTTTCATTTCCGTAATGTAATTAATTATCTAAATAGTTAACATCGAATGATAATATTTTTTAATCATTTATTAATTTTTAAAAATTAATCTTATTAAATAGAAATTATTTTTAGAAATTAAAATATGTTTATAAATTCAAAAATGTATATAGGCTATTGATGTCGTGAATAGAATTTTTGGCTGTTTGCCCGTATAAAAGCATTTTGCTTGTAATTTATACTGTATACATATTAATATTTTTGTAATTTAGGGAAAAATTTACTTATTTATTTATTTTTAAAATAAAAAAATAAAAAAATATGAAAGTTTTATACAGTTGAAAAACAATATAAATATGTTTAGCCTAAAAAAAGATAGGGATTTATTTAAAATTATTCTGCATATTATTAATATATATATATACACAAAGTGAACATTTTGATCTGAGCTTGCAAATTTTGATCAGTTAAAATTATTCGAGGATCAATTTTTTTATATTCTTATGTGTAAAGGAATGTAGTTTCGACCTTGAATCGCTATCTTTCCATCAATATCACGACTTTTTCTAAAAATGTAAACGCATTTTTTAATATTTATCATTAAATTATCATTAATTATCCGTCAATCTTTATATAAAACTACTCGAGTTTAAGATAGAAAGATATTTCTCGTTGGATCGCCCAACTTCAGTTTTAATTTCGTAAATAATTATTAAAATAATAATTAAAACAAAATAGAATTATTTCCTTTATCTTTAATAATCCTTACCTTTATACATTTATCATTCAATCAGTGTAGTGTCGATGATTTTTTACATTCATTATTCATCTCGAGATTATTCCCTGGTGAACATTCATTAATTGATCAATCAGCCCACGTTAAAGATTAGCATTATAATTTTTACTGAAAATAACTTCTGGAACTGCAGGAGAAAACTCATCGAAAATAAAACTAAGAAAAAAAAAATTCTTAAAAGTCAACATTACATTTTCTATGTAATTTGTGGCAGATATCCAGCATAGTTTATTATTAGCGCGGGTGTGCAAAGGTAACATCTGTATGCAGGTGCATTTGTGTGGCAAATCGTCATATAATCATTTATAAATGTAATTATTACTTTTCTCTAACTTAAATTATCTTATTTAAATACTATAAATGTTATTAATTGTATCTATTTAGCTTCAAGTAATGAAGTAATTCATACTACAATTTTTTCGCTGTTGTATTACACTAAAAAAAACTCTCTCATAGTTTCGTATATTAATAATTATTATAATTATTAACACTTATCATTTATGTATAAATAAATAAATGAATCAATTCTCGAACCAAAGCTATTTGTTTGAAAATTATCATATTAATTTAACCCTTTTTTTTAGATCATTGAGAAACCATCTTAAATTTTTCGCACTCTTTAACATTCGAATGTACTTGACCAACTTTACGAAATTAGAAAAAATAAAATAAATAACAACAGGAGAAGTATTTTTTATGTTTAAACTTAAAATAATATAGAATGAATGTTATTTAAAAAGAAAAAGCTCCATGAAATGTGCGTTAATTTAATAAATAAATCCATGTATAGAATATCATATTGATATCAGACTTTTATAATTAATATTTTTTTATAATTAAATAATTAAGCTGAGATATATATAAATAATATAGATAAATGTAAGTTCAGTAAGCTGTATAAAATATGTATACGTGATGACTTGTTTTCTTCTTGTGTTTACACACGTTGAACAATATGACGTCTTATTATTAAATATTTATTACGTCTAGCAAGTTGACGTTACTTACTGTATTTTCATATATTATATTTCGCATATTTAATGTAAGTAAATACAATATATATTTTCTTTTTGAATAACCGAATTTTATCAGCAAAGTGATTTTTATCAACAGAATATATATCGAGCGAATACTTTATCACAATTCAATAAATTTTATCCAAAAAACATTTAGAACGATCTTTGAAGTGTTCCTAAATGTCTCCCCAGATGCAACAAAGAAAATTTTAAACCTTTGTGGCATACATAGAGTTCACTTTGCTTCTTAAACGTTAAGATATACATTCTCTTTTTAAAATTCCCTTAGGAGTCTTTTCGATATTCCACTTTTTTTGAGTTAAAAAGAAGAATAGGCATTATATTTTCTTCTCTAAAGTTTTCTTGATAATATCCACCACAAAAATTATAAAAGGAAAAAAAAAAGAAAAATAGGACATTATAGCGAATCGTGAAGGCTTCTAACTACCGAAGGTTGTGAATTAATGATAAGCTTTCTTTTTACGTGGCACACTTCGGCATTTCTTCTTTGGATCAAACTTTTATGCATTAAAGTAGCGAAGTTAGCGGTTTTTTTACGTGATAAAGAAAAATCCTATTTCAAAATTACATTCTGAACTAAATTTTCTGATGTAAAAATATTAATTCTCGATTCAATTCGTAGATTTTTATTATGAAATTTTACTCCAGCATTAATAAATAAAAACAACAACACGTTCGATTTTATGTCAATAATTCTAACTCGGAGAGAAAATTAACATATTTTAAGAGATTAAACACCAAAAAAAACAACCCAATTTCTGGTCAAACATGTTTGTTCTTTATTGCGGAGAGTCGATTAATTGGAAATATACGTGGTGGAGATGCACCTGTTTAACTCGATAATTGCAGGAGTGACCTCAATCGTTGAAGGATGAAACACTGGTTAATGCATAATCTGATAAATGATTTATAATTGCATAAAGACTTTTCTATTTATCTTATAACGGTGCTTCACTTTCCTATAAAATCCAGACGTAAGCGGTAGAAAATGTTTACACAACTGTATTAAATATGTTTAGCCTAAAAAAAGATAGGGATTTATTTAAAATTATTCTGCATATTATTAATATATATATATACACAAAGTGAACATTTTGATCTGAGCTTGCAAATTTTGATCAGTTAAAATTATTCGAGGATCAATTTTTTTATATTCTTATGTGTAAAGGAATGTAGTTTCGACCTTGAATCGCTATCTTTCCATCAATATCACGACTTTTTCTAAAAATGTAAACGCATTTTTTAATATTTATCATTAAATTATCATTAATTATCCGTCAATCTTTATATAAAACTACTCGAGTTTAAGATAGAAAGATATTTCTCGTTGGATCGCCCAACTTCAGTTTTAATTTCGTAAATAATTATTAAAATAATAATTAAAACAAAATAGAATTATTTCCTTTATCTTTAATAATCCTTACCTTTATACATTTATCATTCAATCAGTGTAGTGTCGATGATTTTTTACATTCATTATTCATCTCGAGATTATTCCCTGGTGAACATTCATTAATTGATCAATCAGCCCACGTTAAAGATTAGCATTATAATTTTTACTGAAAATAACTTCTGGAACTGCAGGAGAAAACTCATCGAAAATAAAACTAAGAAAAAAAAAATTCTTAAAAGTCAACATTACATTTTCTATGTAATTTGTGGCAGATATCCAGCATAGTTTATTATTAGCGCGGGTGTGCAAAGGTAACATCTGTATGCAGGTGCATTTGTGTGGCAAATCGTCATATAATCATTTATAAATGTAATTATTACTTTTCTCTAACTTAAATTATCTTATTTAAATACTATAAATGTTATTAATTGTATCTATTTAGCTTCAAGTAATGAAGTAATTCATACTACAATTTTTTCGCTGTTGTATTACACTAAAAAAAACTCTCTCATAGTTTCGTATATTAATAATTATTATAATTATTAACACTTATCATTTATGTATAAATAAATAAATGAATCAATTCTCGAACCAAAGCTATTTGTTTGAAAATTATCATATTAATTTAACCCTTTTTTTTAGATCATTGAGAAACCATCTTAAATTTTTCGCACTCTTTAACATTCGAATGTACTTGACCAACTTTACGAAATTAGAAAAAATAAAATAAATAACAACAGGAGAAGTATTTTTTATGTTTAAACTTAAAA